TACGACGTATAAATCAAAAGAAACCTTTTAATGCTCTATTATTTATAACAATATTTTCTGATTATGGATCTAGTTCCACTATACTACCAGAGGCACATTTCCTGCTGTTTATTTTTTCCTTTAAAATTCTTTCTTGGATCTAAATACAAACTCTGCATAGACCGGTAATATCATTTAATGATGGTATCAGCGTTCTTCATCTGAAAGATCAGAAAGATGAAAAATAACGATTAATTATTATTCGGAAAGTTGAAATTGGTTTAACTTTATTTTCGCAACTTGGTCGTATTGTCATTGCAACCCAAGTGAAAGTACCTTATCAAGAGTACCCCACAATAGTAGTCAGTGTAATCTCGAACGTCAGACCATCGGCTTGATACCTTCCCATATGTTTCGCTGATATCTTCAGTCAACCTTTAGACCAACTCCCTACTGAAGAGGTGTGGTATCTCTCCTGTCCTGGTACATTCACCTAACCCATATCCTCCTATCTCCCTCACTACCACAACTCCTAAATTGCCCATTTTCACTCGAAGTTATGAGTAACAAGATGGTATGGTCTCTATTTTGTTTATGGTCTTATTTCGTGGTATAGAGGCCTATTCATATTCCACTCTAGTTTCTCATATCCCCTCCCATTCTATTGGAAACTTTGATCCAATATGGCTTTTTGAGTCGGCAATCTACTTCATACAAGTCTTGTTAGTCTCTCTAGTGCCCTGGAAGATCCACCTCTTATACCCTCGGTCCAGTGATTTTCTTTAGTCACTGCCATCCTATCCGTATTACTCGAAGCATCACTTCCCATGATCTGCCTCAAGCGTCCGATAGTATGTATTCTGTGGCCCAACCGAGTGAGCCCCAAAAGCCCGGATTCTAGACTTGTATGAAGGTCTAACTTAACACTATAGTTACATTTATCCCAGTTCAACATGTCCACTGGGTAAATACCGTGGTGAAGTCGTTATTTCATCGACCACTGCTATGATCGAATTAGTATACTATGAACAGTGTCTCTCGTCACCACCGTATAATTCGGGTTTAGCTCTTATCCAATTGGCCCCCGCCAAATCAATGGCGTTCCTATCCCTTAATCTATTGTAGGCCAACCTACAAACACTGCAGCTGTCTACTTGGCCCGACTACTTACTGCTAATGCATTCTCTTTCTTTCCTATTATCCCCCGAGAGCCTCTTGTGATTTCTTGTCTTCTTGTCAAAAACAAGACCCTTGATCTCCTTTTAATTGATCTTGCTGATTCCAGATCACCTCCGAGTTTGCTTAAGCCATACCCAATGTTTTACATAATTCTGCCTTATTCGAGTCTCCTTTATATTAGGCTTCTTTGCAAGGATAACGACGGCATTCATAAGCTTGCTTTTCCTTGTAGTTTCACCATATGCTGCCTTTAAGGCGATTTCATGTCTTGTCCGTGCAGTGCGTTTTGCTATTTCCAATTTTTCCGTATCTATGTTTGTGTAGTCTTCAATGTTCTTTGATTCATAGGCGGAGTTTTCTGTATGTTTCACCAAAATAATTCTACTCACAATGGCTTCAGGCTATGCGATAAACTAACGAGCAAACTAGTTTTTCCACATCAAGTTGCATCGGTGAGCTGATGAAGTGTATTGTTTTCTCGGTGATCTCTTGAATATTCCATTTTCCTAATATTAGTCGAAGTATCCGACCCGGTTCACAGGAGAGCAGATATATCGATTTTCGATACTCCTCATTACCGATTTAATTTTCATAATATCCATGCTCCATCTACTATGTATGACCCTCATGTTCATTTGAATAACTTATTTATGCTATCAGTTAATAAGAAAAACTTAAGTCAGTTTGTTTAATCCTTCTTCCCAGAACTCCATATCCGTTTATCCATATATTATAATGATCAAGATCTTTATTCCGATCTTCTGTCTGTAGTTGTGATGAGGCTCTAGCCTCAGGAATGAGGATTCCAGCATATGATTTTTTCATGAATAGTCACCTTTTGAGCGTCTCGTTGGAGCCAATGACAGATATTCAATAAGGAAAGGTGTTCATCATCCTCCACTTCCATTAAAAAATTTGAATCTTATGCCAAGTTGCTTCATAAAGTTCAGGAACTCTTATAGACTTTCCTATCTTATAACTTGTGCAAAGTATACAATTCTTCATCCAGGTTCCTGCCAGACTTCTAAAAAGATAGGCGAATTAGCATGGGAGTGGAAATTCATGATCATGTATAAAGAAGTACCAACACTTCACTCGGTCATACCTTCTTTAAGATAATCTTCAGACGCACCCTGCAGATCAGGTTGCTATAAGGTTTGGTGCATATATAGTAGTGCCTATGTAAGGGAGACTTGTCGAGCCATACAAAAATGGTTATTAAAACACAAAACTGTCTGAAAGGATTTATGGAGTCAGAAATCTGAGGTGGCTAGATATATGGTCAGTACAGGGCATCAGATAGAATGGTCTAAACCCCAAAATTTTGCCTGATGAGTACTTCACAACTAACCGGAAATCAGGAATTCAATTGAAATCAACAAAATTAAAAACACCCCGAATAAGAGGAATTAAAGCAAGGAGTATCCCTGGTTGCGGGATAGAATTATGAGATTAAGAGAAGACGTGACTAACCTGGATTCCAGTTTGGGGCTCGAAATTGCCAACCAATTCAAGAGTATTATATACCCAGCGCACGCGCATTCACGAAGCTAGAACTGGCCTAGGTATTACAGGATCATACGCTAGTCTATTTACATAAGGAAAAGCTGTGGCCACATCTGCTTCTCTTTTTGCATCAAATCACTCGTCTACATGCAGATAAGACAAGTACAAAGTATTCAACAAAATCCTGGAACGCCTCATTAAAATCGCAAACTTGGGTATAAGAAGTAAGTAGTTTCAGCCGGCCATCTTTCTTGGTTTCGAATTTTTCGGTGATTTCTCGTATATACTGGTTTCCGGCTATAAAAATATCCATCAAATGACGGGTGAAAGCTCAGAACACCGAGACCTACTTCGCACGATTCAACAGCCACGAATCCAAAGCAGCCCTCCTTCGGTATCCGGTGAGGACAAGTTACGAATTCCTTTTACTTGTCTTTACAAATGAAATGAAAGGTATGCCAGCCATGAGGTCAAAATGAGGTGTCACATTGACGTAAAATGTGAAGTATGTGGTCCTGATTTCCAGGTTAGTCAGTCGTCCTTTCGTGTCCACTCTGCCATTACTGTCTCCTCGCCAGTGATAAGTGGCATACAGGGGAATATGGAATTCTGAATGTCATACATTTGGCATATTCATAGAAAAACCAGTTCGACCAGAATTTCACTCGACAAAGAAATCTACTAAAAGATTTACCCGGTGTCAAGACAGAACTGAGATAAGGAAAACTACAATTTTATGTCCAATTTTCATCCAGCATGATAACTCAGGCCTTGGGGCCTGCTTAATGAAGCTACAGTAGACGTACTACCAAATGATTTAGGCAAATCATGGGAGATAATGCCTCGAATAGTATGGATATGGTGGCAGTGACCGTGGAATCACTGAACAGAGATAAGAGATAGATCTTTCAGGAACTTGATAAAATAGAATGC